ATAAAGTTCTTTGGGCTTCTGTCGGAACCAGGTAGTGACTTCCCTTTCTACAGCTTCATTGTCGGGAAAATGTTCAGCCGAAAGATGATGTTTAAGAGGGCCGAACAAATGGAAGTCGCTTGGAGCAAGCTCGGGGCTACACAGAGGATGCTCAGTGACTTCCCACTTGAAATTTCGTAGCATCTCATTTGTCTTGTAGGCTATATGGGTACATACATCATGCAAGAGCAACATGCCTTTGGCGAGGAGTCCTGGTCACTTCTGTTGAATGGCCTTAAGAAGTTTCCCGAGAATGTTACAGTAGGATGTAAATGCCGACTCCGACTGTAACATCCTCAGGATGTAAAGGTCCCCTGTAAAGGGAAGTCACCGCTTGGTTCTGACAGCAGCCCAAAGAATTTGATACTGCTGGTTTTCAGGGGCTTGTGAAATGATGGGACAAGTGCCTCAATGTACAGGGAGATTATGTTGAGAAATAAAAACATTTTTCAAATCAGTACTGTTATTTGTTTAAGTTCTATATCCATTTGTAACTTACTTATTCACTTACCTACGTACAAAACTATAATTTTGCCTGTGGTTCTGTATGGGTGTGAAGCTTGGTCTCTGACATAAACCTTTAAACGCCAGACTTTTGAAATAGTGGTAAGCTTGAGCTGGACAGAATTTATTTAAATGTCTGCTGCTGGTGCACATTTAAATGCCTGTTGCTACTCTGCGTTTAAATGTCTGTTCCTATTAGGGCGCTCAAACAATTTTAAGCATTTGTTTAAAAATGCTGTATCTAACACAATTTTTATGATAAATGGATGGAATTAACTTAGTTTGTATCAGCAAAGAACATAGTGTCGCATATTATAACGGAAGATTTGAAAATGTTTATACAAAGATCTATACTGTATTTTCAATTTTTTTCTTTTAATTTTGATGTGTACTGTAAAAATGGTTTCCCAGTTTTTCACAGAGTTGTTCTGCATTATAAATTCATTTCTGCTTATAACACTTGACAAATTTTAGCAGTCCCCTGTGTCATAAAACAGATGGAAGCAATAAAATCATTTGGTTCTCTGCTGGAAAACCTTACATCTTTGTTACACTCTTCAAATTTTCAAATCTTTTGACCAAAGGACAGAAGAATGAATGCATGGCTATTCAAGAAAATGCTAGAGGGAATAATTTGACTGTCCCCTCTTCAATGCTAAGACCTTCTGTTATATCTTCAAGAGATTATTGCCCTTTCTATAGTCGTGAACAGACAGTTGTTTCATGGCTGAGATACAGAGCGTGATCCGTTTTCTGTGCATTCACAGTGAAATTGAATACTGTAGTTTCATTTCAGCCTATATATATCAAGCAGATAAGAAAAAAAAAAGGTATGTACATCAAATTTTACTATATATTTTAAGAACTCACATGTATACTCTTTTTTGTTGTTGTTCACTTAGGTATCTTTTTAATTCCTCTATTAGGGTGTTACTCAAGTCTGTCTGGTAATTACTACATTGAAAAATAAATATTTAGGACGGTGCATGCACCTCTACTAGTGGAATTTAAATGCCCGACTGGCCAAAACTTTGGCCACAATGACCATACTCATCACTGGCCCAATCAGGGCACTTCGGATGTTAAAGGTTAATGGAGGAACATTGACTGAGAGTGTTGAGGAGAATATTTGGACTGAAGGGAGATGAAGTGACAGAAGGTTGGAGGAAACTGTATAATGAGGAGCTTTGTAACTTGTACTCTCCTCCAAGTATAGTTAGTTAGTTAGTTAGTTAGTTAGTAGAGAGGGTGGGTTTCCCCATGCACTTAGACCTGTAGTTCCTCCAAGTATAATTAGAATGATCAGGTCAAGAAGGATGAGGTGGGCAGGGCATGTAGCACGAATGGGGGAGAAGAGGAATGCATATATGGTATTTGTGTGAAAGTGAGAAGGAAAGACCACTGGAAAGACTAAGGCATAGGTGGGTGAACAATATTAAAATGGATCTTAGAGAGATAGGATGGGGTAGCATGGAGTGGATTGATCTGGCTCATGATAGGGACCAGTGGAGGGCTCTTGCGAACATGGTAATGAACCTTTGGGTTCCATAAAATGCTGGGAAATTCTTAAGTAGCTGCAGAATTGATGGCTTCTCAAGAAGGGCTCAGCTCCCTAAGTAAGTAATATAAAATGCTTCTGACTCTTAATTTCTTTGTATCTGGTGGTTGTTAGGGGACCATATTTGCTTAATTGCATAAAGTGATTGGCCACTGTGTGTCTGTGTGTCTGTCAATGTCCCATCACTAATTAGCCATATATAGTCTAATGCATGATGTGATATCTGTTGGATATTTTCCATTTTTATTTTTCATTAAAAAAACATGTTTTGAAAGTTGGCTGTGCCCATGTGATCAGGTAACAGTTTGAATCCCCTGTTGGGTGCATTTGGTATGGCATGCATCTGTAACATGCACTAACTCTGTTAGACCAAGCTAAGGCTGTGCCATAGCTCAAGCGGTTAGTTGCTGGCCTTCCATCGCAGAGGCCCTGGTTCGATTCCGGGTCTGGTCAAGTGGGATTTGTGGTGGACAAAGTGGCATTGGGGCAGGTTTTCTCCAAGTACTTCAGTTTCTCCTCCCAATCTTCATTCCACCAAATTCTCCATCATCATAATCACCCAGGGCAGGTACAATAGGCCAATCAGTGGCAGCCATTCCAAGTGGACCCAGTTGGACTCAACCCCCATCTAAGCGAATAAAAAAAAATTAGATCAAGCTAATGTAGTATGTTGCTCATGTTATTGTGTGTTTATCGTTACTGGTCTAAATATATATATATAAATTTGCCTGTATTATTTTGTTAGTAGATGTTTACAAATTGTTATGGAGATACTGACATTGGTGCTTTGGAATGTGAGGAAATTGAAGGTCATATAGCACCTGATTCAGAAGTGATGATCCAGTATGCTGAAAAAATGAAAGCAGAATGCAGACTTAAGCAACCACTGTTAGAACCTAAGAGTGACTCTCAGGGCAAATGTAATGGGTGGCTACAGAATGACAGTCTGATGCCATTAGAAATGCAAGACTCGAAGCAACATTGGGATTGTGAATCTATTGTGTCCACTTATTCAAATCTGTTATAAGTTATTAACATTATTTCCTAAATTAAAATGTAATGTTTCATGTGAACATGTTTTATTTCGTTTTACAATTTTGATGTATATTGAAAACAAGTTATAAACGTTTTGAACAATGTGAATTGTTCTGTCAGTAAAACAGCTGTGGGCTGGATAGCCAAGGCTCAGTTCATGGCATTCCATGTGTAAACCAGTTCTGAGTCCCTGTCAGATAGGTACTGGGGTTTCTTGCCGTGTAAATGGCCAGAGTGTGAAGCTGAACATTCATCTCCATCCAGTGCTAATGTTAAGAATGTACGGAGCTTGTCTCTGCTCCCATATGTCTTCATGGTGTATATCTTAAGCACCAGGATAACGTGTTTGACTAATATGTTGACTTTCAAGAAGAGAAGTGACCATCGTCTGCCTGCAGCAGCTGATCTGCTAGGAACAGGATCATAACTGATGCAAATGTTTTTATTACCACCCACCTCAGTATTCTCCTTGTTTCTGCCCATTTGATGAAACTGGCAAAATTCACCCGTGGTGGGTGTGTCCATATGAAGTGGTAGCACTTAATGTTGAGTGACTGGGTTGTGGTAGTGGTGGTGATTATGAGGATGGTTACAACCATCAGGAGAGATTGCTGGACCTCCTCATTCTCAAGGTTCTGTACTTGGTATACTGAAACCTAAAGTCTTTCACACATGAATCTTCTCAGACAACTGCCCCCCCCCAATAATGTAGATACAAAAAACCTTTCTGTTCCAAGGGGTGATAAGGGAATAATTTCTGTTCTCTTGTATCTTTGACATTTCCGACATAGATTAATTTCTGGGGATTTTGAAGTACATAGACTGTGATATATAATTCTGTCCCTGAAACTCTTATTTTTGCAAAACTGTAGTTATGTCTTGCTGAAAGTATTCGGATAGTTTTTCTGTCAGAGAGAGAATGCTAAAAATTTGTAAGGAAATATTGTTACTGTACCTTTCAGGGTACAAAAAATATTGAACCTATGATGTCTTGCGGCACTAACTGTATTACGTCGGTTGGCTGGTGAATTATAACTATTGCCCCCCCCCCCAAGTAGAATTGAATAACTGCATGTGAGTATGTTAGCAGCTGTAATAGATATTGTCACAGTTTTGAGTGACTATAGATGGGGTTTCAGTTGGTAATTGGAATTATTGAATGCTTACAGATTGTAAGTACAAGTAACTATAGCGCCATTGCTAATTCTCACTCCCATCAGTTCGCTATAGCACGTATTAAGTCTTTTTGATCTACTGTGTGTGTCTTTGCCACTCATTGACTGGTAATGGCTTCCAATGTCATAGCATCCTCAGCTTCTATGGTCATGTCCTTACCAGCTGGCTTCTGTCTCACAACTAACTCCTACTCTTCTAACTGCCATCTCAAGACTCAGCTCGACTCAGTCAGTTGAGTGATATGGCCTTGGAGCAGACTCAGCAGAAAACACCATTCCTCTGTTGATGTGGGTTACATATCACATCTTATATTGCTGCAGCACTGTCCCCCTGGTACTGGACCGCATGGCAACACTTCTTCCTGCAGCTCTTCTGTTGTTGCTTGACATTGCTGTGGACATCGCTGTGTTTCTCTGTTGCATGTTTAATCATTTTTCACTGATAAATTGTTTACTGTGCCGTAACCTAGCAGTGGCTCTCTGCATGCTAGTGTATTAAATGTTAACAGCTCTTGACTATCTTCATGTTCATACATTACTCTGCTGATGGTTTCAAGCTGTGCCACAGGTATTTATTTTTCAGAAATAATTGAATAATTTTTGTTTTATAAATTTTCCCAAATTCAGTAATGTAAGAGGGATTGTGTCATTAAATGAAAGTCTTAGTGAGAAGAACACACTATGTGTAACGAGTGCAGCATGTAGTAATTTTACATTTATTAGCAACAGTTTGTCACTTTAGTGAACTATAGTGACCGAGCGACTGCCACTTTTCAGCAAAGTTAATGCCAACTTTTGTGGAGAGAGGGTGTCACGTGGTCAGCGCAACGGATTCCCACGGCCATTAATCTCGGTTTTATAGACCTGTATCCTGGTGTGTATGAATCCTAAATGTATTATTTTCTTC